GTAACCACCATTGTCAGAATATAGAACTGCTCCATCATCACAAAGAAGATGCTACCCTGGGGTGCCTGGGTGGCTCATCCATTTAAGCGTCCAACTCTTGATTTCGGCTCAGGTCATGATCTCAGGGTGGTGAGGTCAAGCCCTGTGTCAGGCTCTGCCCTGGGTGTGGAGCCTCCTTAAGATTCTCTCTCTGCACCCACCCCACCCCATCCCCCACTGTATGTGCGCGCGTGCGCTCTCTCTCTCTCTCTCTCAGAAAAGAAGAAAAAGATGCTTCCCTTTTATAGTCAGACCCTCCTTCCTACTCTAACCATGGGCGGCCACTGATCTGTCCTCAATAATTTTGTCATTTCAAGAGTGTTACATAAATGGAATCAGAACATACAACTTTTGGATTTTTGTTTTAAAACTGTTCTTTATTTAGAATGTGAACATGTGCATGTTGAAAAGCAGTTGATCAATTTGATCCAAGATTTTGCTTCTCCAGAAACATACTAAAACCAGGAAGTGAGAACCACATGAGATTGAATGCTACTTGAGTGACGCTCAAGAGTGACACTTCACACTGACTTTTCTGTCAAGTGTTGCCTTTTAAGATTTTGAGTTAACAATCTGTATGAAAGAGTGTGGGTTAAGTAGTTTTCATTCCTCACTCCTGTTCTGTTTTAGTCCATTCAGTCTCCAGTAACAAAAATATCATTGAGTGGGTGGCTTAAACAACATTTATTTCCCATACTTCTGGAGTCTTGGAAAGTCTACTTCAGGGTACTGGCAGATTTGGTGTCTGGTGGGGGCCTGCTTCCTGTTCAAAGACAGCCATTGTCTGCTGTGTCTTTATAGGGCAGAGGGGCAAGGGAGCTTCCTGGAATCTCTTTCATAAAGGTGCTAATCCCATTCCTGAGGGCTCTGCTTTCCTGATCTAATTACCTCCCAAAGGCCTATCTTCAAATACCATCACATTAGGGATTAAGTTTGAACATATGAATGAGGGGGGTGGTAAACAGTCTATAGTAGATCCTTTGGCGTTTTCCACCTGTCTTAGTTTGGTATGTAGGTATGAAATAGAAATTTTAGAAAAGGACAGCCTTGTGCTGGTTGCCCTGAATAGTCTGAAAGTTCCCACTGCTGTGGTCAGAAGGCTTCCTTCGTGGGTTCTGCAGTATAGTTGCCACTTTAGTCCAGTTGACCCTTGAACAACATGGGTTTGAAATGCGCAGGTCCACTTACACGTTTTTTTTTTAAATAAATACAGTACAACACTGTAAATGTGTTTTCCTTGTGATTTTCTTAATAACTCTTTTCTGTAGCTAATTGTAAGAATATAATATATAATACATATACAAAATATGTGTTAATTGACCATTTATGTTATCGATACAGCTTCTGGTCAGCTGTAGGCTATTAGTAGTTAAATGTTTGGGGGAGTCATGTTATTCACGCATTTCCGGTTGCACAGGATTCAGCACCCCTAACCCCTGTGGTGTTCAAGAGTCAGCTGTATAATGTACAAAAACTTTGAATTTCACCTCAAGTAAACATTGTGGTTGGTGATAACAGCAAAATGAACAAATATAGAGGACCAGGGTCACTAGTTACAAGTTCATGAGAACACAAGAAGCTGAGATCAGTTCGATAAAGCTTGTTTTGTCTTGTTTTTTTAAAGATTTTATTTATTTGCGAGAGAATGAGAGAGAGAACATGAGAAGGAGGGTCAGAGGGAGAAGCAGACTCCCTGCTGAGCAGGGAGCCTGATGCTGACTGGATCCTGGGACTCCAGGATCATGACCTGAGCCGAAGCCAGTCGCTTAACCAACTGAGCCACCCAAGCGCCCAAGCTTGTTTTTTCTTTTTTGCCAGTCACTTTAGGCATATGTTCTCAGGGCCAACAGTTAAGACAACAGAATGTGGCTTGATTACATCATCTTATGGCACATTTTCTAATTACACTGCAGCTTCATTGGGGCTTCACTGACAAAATGCTGTTTTATTTTCCTAGGCCTGTATATAAATTCTGTAAGAGAGCCCTTAATGTGTTAAATTGCAATAGCAGCTTGTGGGAGGGACCTCATTAGGCTGACACAATTTTATGTAACCTAGTAATAAAGTGTAATCTGGTAACTAAAATCCCTACTTTGGTAAATTCACTTTTTATTAATCTCTCAAATAAATGTTTGTGAAAACCATTATTATAGTATTAAGAAATGAATGGCCTATTCTAAATGCTAATGTGTCGTACATGATATTACAGCAAATGATTTGGTGATGAGAAATAGCACTGTTTTGCCTGTGTGATAAGAGAATTTTGATGCTATGCTTGATCTTAGCCAAAAAACTGAAAAACAGTTGAGAATTTTGATGCTAGAGAATTATAGTTCATAGTTTTAAAATCTTGTAGGAAAACATTTTTTGGCACAAAATGTTTTCTAATGTCATTAGAGATTCTTAAAATAGATAACTTCAGTGTTTCATTCAAGACATAGCAATAGACTGAGCTCCTTTGAAATTATTGCCTTGAGTGCAGTTATGGATTCATTAATGCCTAGACATAGAGCTGTGCAGGGACCAGATCAAATAGAGCCTTGTAAGCCATGTAGTGTTAGGAGTTTAGATCTTGATATATGCAGAACACTTTGCTAGGCTTCATTCTTTTCAAGGCCAAATGACCTGTAACAGTTTGACAGTTCAGTCTCGTGCTCTGCATGTGAGGAAACACGGTATTGACTTGTGTACTTGTGGATATCTAACAAGAAACTCATCGTTTAGTTATGTGTTTATCTTCCGTCCCTCCACTAGAATGGAAGCTCCATGAGGGCATAGATTTTTGTCTTGTTCATCAGTGGTTCTTTTCCTTAATAACTTTCTAACTTTAAATTACTTACTTTGGGACTGTAAGTTATATTACTTTCAATATCTGAAAATTGAGCTAGTTAATTCTCAGATAGAAGGTCAGTATTATGAGAACTGTCCCTTGAGAAGGGAAATGGAGCCAAGAGCGGCCCCTATTTGTCAGTTCTGCTGCTTTCTCAGTAAAGGGAAGAGTAGAAGATTTGTGAACAGTTGGCAGAAAAGGAAGCAGATCAAAATATAACCATGAACTTTAGTATAAGTTTTTCTTCTATTCAGCACTTAAACTTTTGTGGCTAGCAAGAATTTTAGCTGATAAAATAGTAACTCATCAACAAGTTCTGCCAGTTTTATCTCCTAAATATTGAACACTCATTCACCATTTCACCTGCCCCCCATCAGTCCAAGTTTCCATACTCTCCTGTGGGACCACTGCAGAACTGTCTTGAATAGTCTTATCCACTCTTAATCTCTTCCAGTTTATTCTCTACACTGGACCAGATTGACCTTTTCAAAATGCAAATCTGGTTCTAGAACTTCACCTAAAACCCTTTTGAAGTTTCCCACCTTAGGCCACAGACCAACGTTGCCTGACTTCGGCCACCTCCAGTTACTTCCATAAAGGCCTCTGATGCTCTCTCATCTCTCTTGCCATGGAATTTTTGCACTTGTTCCTGTTTTCTTTGCTTGTTAACTGTACCCATCCTCCAGATCTCAGTACACAAATCCTGTACTCAATGGCACTTTCCCTAATCTTCCATTTTTAGATCAAAACTCCCTATTCACTGGATTGGCCCCATAGATCTTTACTTTGTAGCACTAAGCACACTTACAGAATTCCATGTATTTGACTAATTATGTGATTAATGAGGTCAGGACAAGACTGATTTTCCTCCCTGTTGTATCTCCAGTACTCAACATAGGGTCTGGGAGGTAGTTTTTATTTTTTACTCAGTAAGCTTTTTTCAAATGAACGAATCACTTTCTTTGATTCAGCTTTAAAAACTTCTAATTCAGCCATTTAAAAATATATAAGTAATCTGGGGCGCCTGAGTGGCTCAGTCATTAAGCGTCTGCCTTTGGCTCAGGTCATGATCCCAGGGTCCTGGGATGGAGCCCCACATCAGGCTCCCCACTCAGTGAGGAGCCTGCTTCTCCCTCTTCCTCTGCCTGCCGCTCTCCCTGCTTGTGCTCGCTCTCTGTCAAATAAATAAATAATCTTTAAAAAAAATATAAATATATATAATTAATTCTATTGATGGTTTTGCTTAATCTTGAACTCTGTTCCCACTTTATTTTTTAGGGTATTACTGTTATTTGGAACTTAGTAAATGAATGTGTCTCATCCTACTTGTTCTCTTAGTTTGAGAAATTGTAAATATATTACTAATGCCTTACATTTTTTAAGAACTTTGGATATATTCTGTATTTTCCTGTTATTTTTTTTGTATAAAGCACACAGCCACCCTGTTTTCTAATATTTCCTCTTCTTCCAGGTTGCAGACTGCCAACTTTTTATTGTATCCTTATATGGCAGAAAGAGAGCTAGCTAGCTCTCTGGGGCTCTTCTTAGAAGGGCACTAATCCCATTCATAAGGTCTCTACCCTTATGATCAAATTACTTCCAAAAGGCCCCAATTCCAAATACCATCACATTGGGATTAGGGTTTCAACTTGAGAATTGGGTGGGGGTTGGGGGGGGACATAAACATTCATTCCATTGCATTATGTATTAATTTCCCAGCAGTTGCATGATTTCATGCAATAGGGTTAAGAAAAATGCACTCTTATTTATTTAATGAAAAATGTACTCATTTAATGCTAACGTTCTGTAGTTCTATGAAATGTTTAGTAATTTCATTGATACTTTGAAAGCTTTTTCTTTTTAAGATTTTATTTATTTGAGAGAGAGAGAAAGAGTGATAGTGCATGAGCGGGTGGGGGTAGGGGCAGGAGAAGCAGGCTCCCTGCTGAGCAGGGAGCCCGATGCAGCACTTGATCCCAGGACCTTGGGATCATGACCTGAACCAAAGGCAGACGCTTAACCAACTGAGCCACCCAAGCACCCCTGAAAGCTTTTTGTTTTTTAAAATATTTGTGATTACTGAGTATTTATTAACAAACTAAAGGTGGTTCTTTCCACTTTGTTTCTTTAGTCCGAGGATCAGAAGGACTGTACATGGTAAATGGACCACCACATTTTACAGAAAGCACTTTGTTTTCAAGGTATGGTTTATATTGTTGACTGATGTAATAGGGAACTGTATAATACATCCTAAATTATTTTTGTTGTTATATTCTGAACAAGAAAGGATAGGCTGGTTTCTTGGGGTGTGTTACATAATATTAACAGAAGACGGAAAGAATGCATATTCTTTATCAAGAAAAATGATTGATCTTTAGATTTGAAAATAATAGCTTCAGCATGTTTAAAAGAAAAAGTGTAGACCTTAGTATATTTGAGTTCAAGCCTTAAGCTTCGAAGAATCTTATCTTGGGGGATGAAGAAAAACTTGCAAATGTGGTAGCCAAACCACTGCCTATAGTCGTCATGAAATCAGACAATGAAAAAGATAGAGGAAAGGAAGGAAATAGAAAATATATATATAACTAGATAGATACAGATAAATTTTTTTCTAAAAAGAAATAATGAATGGGTAAACAGAAAATTATAATAAAAGTATTAAGTTGGTGGCATAACCGTATGATGACATGCAAAATTCTGAAATGCATTCAGTCATTTTATTGGTAACAATTATTAGTGAAAATTGATAATTGTCATTTTAAATCCATTGTATGATAAAACAAATAATTATATTAACATCATTAGAAACCAAGATTTTTCAGCATTAAGAATGATAGACGCATATATCGATATGAACTCATGATTTCTTTTCATAAAAACATTTGTATTTTCTAGTTCTGTCCGCTGAAAAAGGTTGAGAAGCAGTGATAAGCTAGTAGCAGTGAATACCCCTGCCTCACAGATTGTGATCTTTAAACATCATTCTTTACTAACAGGAACTAGTTCCTTGCAGAAGTGACTGGCTGCAGGTCTAGAAAGAAGATATAAGAATTGAGCTAGAGACGTCTTGGGCCAGAAAGCAAGGAAGCTATAAAAGACTAACAGGGCTTTGTTAAAGGGTCACAGGAGTCAACTTTAGGGGGTTCTCACTAACCTAAGATGGGGCACTTTGAGAATTGGAAAGAATCATGACTGAAAGGATTAAGACATTCAAGGATATAAACACTCTACCCAAAATTCCTCTCTCTCCAGATCTTTATTGGTCAGCATTGGAGGTTGATGGGGTCCTCGCTCATTACTTTGAAAACTGATAAATCAAGAGAAGGAGTCAAGCATTTATTTTGCCTTTCCCGTACAAACAGTTTTTCAGAGTAAACAAATTATTGATGAGGAAAACTTATTTATAGGAGAATTCCAGTTAATACAAAAGGAATGATGGGATTAGATAATCGTTGTAATCTTAAAGAAATCATCTGTCAGTGGTTCTCAAACTTTAACATGCATCAGAACTCTCTGAAGAGCTTGTTAAAACACAGATTGCTGCTCCCTCCCCAGATTTTCTGATTCATTGGATCTGGGGTGGGGCCCAAGAATTGGAATTTTTAACAAGTTCCCCAGTAATGCCAAAGCTCTAAGTCTGGGGAGCCTGCTTTCAGAACTATTGATCTGGGCAAATGATCATCAAAAGATGCTGAAACTGTTAGATGAACTATCGGTGGGGAACTTTATAATCAGGCTGACATCACCTGAATCTATTGCCCAGTTTTTTACTAGACCCCAGTTCTCTAGAACCATGATACAGGAAGTATGAGCTCAAGAACAGCTATATTATATTGGCTTCACCTTGAGCCAGTGCAGAAATATAACATCTCAGTCCCTGATCCAGCTTACTGAATCAGAATCTGTGTTTTAACCAGATCCTCAGGTGATTTGTATGCATATTGATATTTGAAAAGCACTGCTCTAGTAAACAAGTCTGTGTCAAAGCTTTTGTGCTGCATGCACTTCACTGGGGCGTATAATCCCAAGGCAGCAGGAATGTGGGCGGGGGGTGGTGGAACCAAGAGAAGGGAATAAGTAAAGGAAGAAGTGAAAGCAAATATAATGTGAGGTGCACTGAGCTGACCACAAATGCACAAAATATAGCCAGGCTGCTTGGTGATGCAAAATGTCTCTGGAGAGGCTATAAGGCACCACAGTGCCTCAGAACATTCAGTTGTGGAGAGGAAGCATAAGAAATGTTATCTGCAGCCAGAGCCTCTTTTGGTCTATTCAGGTTGAGTTTGAGTGTCGGAGCTCCTCTTCCTGCTGCTGCAATAGGCGTAGTGGAAGCCCTGCTAAAATGCGGCCTTCACTCCTAGAGAGTCTGAGACAACCAGTGGTGTTAGGAGATGAGGTGGCCAGGTCTCTTCATTGAATAACTGAGGCCTGGAAGCAGGAAAGGTAAGGTGAATCTGAGGAGGCACACACATAATGAGTCCAGGACAGTCTCAGCATCACTAAGAGTAGAACGAGGAGACAGCACGTATCTCCTGGTGGGTAGTAATGGGAACTCCGTGACACTTAACCTTCTATGCAGGTTGAAATAAAAAACAACCTGATTTTAGTCAAGCTTTTAGATGAGTGGTTCTCAAATTTGGCTGCATGCTAGAATGACATGGGGAGCTTTTAAAAACCTGGGTATCCAAGGATTGGGTATTAAATGAAATAAGTTGCAGCACAAGTGTAGAATGGAGGACCTCTTGGTGATAGTTGTTTATGTGAGAAGAGGACAAAAAATGGGTCAGTAACTACAAGCTGAGGCTAAACTACCATTATTATGTGATTGCAGAAACACGAGTGTCATCTTCAGATGAATTAATAATGTAAATATAGTATCCAGTTTAAGGGGGATGTACTGCTCAGTTCTCAGTGCTTGTTATTTAATAATTCAAATGGCTGTGGACTTCTACATGTGCCCACATACACATTTCTGTTTGTGTGTTCCTTAGCACTGGGAGATGTACTCCTAGTAGCCATCTCCAGTTGAGAGATAGAGTACTTAAGAGTTTTGTGGGTTTTTTTTTAAGATTTTATTTATTTATTTGACAGAGAGAGACACAACGAGAGAGGGAACACAAGCAGGGGGAGTGGGAGAGGGAGAAGCAGGCTTCTCGCTGAGCAGGGAGCCCGATGCGGGGCTTGATCCCGGGACCCAGGGATCATGACCTGAGCCGAAGGCAGACGCTTAATGACTGAGCCACCCAGGCGCCCCAAAGTTTTGATCACTGGATAGAATATTGCCAAGAAGTCTGATTTCCTAGGTCTGTTTTTATAGAGAATCTGACGTCCACACTTACTTAGTGTGAAGATCCTCTTATTGTTGTTACACTTCCTGTCTCTATACATCAGAAATTGATGGAAGATCTTTGTCCTTCAAATCCAGGGGCACTTCTTGGCGACTTGAGGATATTCTATCCAGTTATGTTGTTATGCAGGTGATCTGGAGAATTCCTCACAAAGTCTCCATATTGAAATCCTTCAGCCCTCTCAAGGTTAGGCCTGACAGTTAGTGACTTCCACGTTCACTTACATTTTTGAGTTTTCATACAAACTGGTTATTCACCCAAAAGAGCTCCGTTTTCTTCTTAAGATTGATCTGTTGATCAATTTCCACCTTACTTTACAGTGGTTGTTGGCACTGCATTGTAAGAGATAAGGCATTTGGTAGACTAAAGCATTTTGGAATTACTTCTTAAATTTATGTAAGTTCATAATCATTAAATTAGTAGTAAGTGTAAATTTTTAATCACAGTTTTTTGAAAAGTATTAATGCTTATTAAACTTTCTTTCTTGTCATTTTCAGGGAATCTGGGAAAAATTGCAAAGTCTATACCTTTAGTAAGGATGGCACCTTGTTTGCCTGGGGCAACGGAGAAAAGTTAGTGTTTCTTTATATAACATATTTTATGTGTGTATCATCGGTATAAAACATAAGTGGCATTATTTGAATTACATGTGTTTGGGTGTCGTTAATAAAGTCCATCTTTTAATGTCATGATGTACTTAGGTATTATCTCCGACGCAACTCCCATAGAACTCTAAAGTTATTAGCTTCTATTTATGTGCCATGACTTGACTTACCTTGTTTCTTAGGATTAAAAAGTAATATATGAAAAGGGGCAATTAATTTAATGCTGGAGAAGCTGAGAAGTTTTAAATAGTGCTCTAGTTAGTGGTTAGGGTTTCTTAAGTTCTGTACTAACACTTAGAGAGTAATTCTCTTTGCTTGCTTACCTTAGACTTAGATACGTATATCTTTGCTATTAAATTAGTAACAACTGTCTACAATTATTTCTATGAGTTTATTATATATGAAAGTATGTCATTTTAGTATTTTATAAATTATTCAAAAGTATATTAGTATAGTCTGTATTATATAAAATAATCAGATTACAAAATTGGTTTTGCAAAAGAAAAAGTTCTGATTAAATACTCATAATTTTGCTAAGAAAATCACTCTTAATTTTTCCATAGTCACTACAACATTTCAGTTCAAAGAACCAGGAAAATGCCTAAATATTTGTTGCTTGATTTAAAGTTATTTTTGTTGTTGTTAACCAGATGTAATACCTTAGGGTTTTTGTTTTTTCTTTTTTAGATTTTTTAAAAAGATTTTATTTATTTATTTATTTGAGAGAGACAGCAAGAGAGGGAACACAAGCAGGGGGAGTGGGAGAGGGGTAAGCAGGCTTTCTGCTGAGCAGAGAGCCCGATGTGGGCCTCGATCCCAGGACCCTGGGATCATGACCTGAGCCGAAGGCAGATGCTTAACCGACTAAGCTACCCAGGTGTCCCTACCTTAGGTTTTTTAAAAAGGAGAAAATGTATGCATTTGTATGAAAAGTACATTTTAAATGTTGTTTCTTACATAGTGGTGATGGATTCTGAAGTCAGATTGGATTAAACACATGATTTTTAAAAATTAATGCTAAAAAGATTGTGTTGAATTAGATGATTCACTTTTATTTATTTATTTATTTTTAAGATTTTATTTATTTATTTGACAGAGAGAGACACAGCAAGAGAGGGAACACAAGCAGGGAGAGTGGAACAGGGAGAAGCAGGCTTCCTGCTGAGCAGGGAGTCCGATGCGGGGCTCGATCCCAGGACCCTGGGATCATGACCTGAGCCGAAGGCTGACGCTTAACTGACTGAGCCACACAGGCACCCCTCACTTTTTTTTTAGATGATTCACTTTTTATGACTATGAGTAGCTGGCAGAATTAGTTATTGTAATTAAAAATGTTAATCACTTCATTATTTTTTTAAGTTATTGAATCCAGCCAGTACACCACTACTCATAAATTATTAAGAATATAATCATATTGGGGGTGCCTGGGTGGGTCAGTCAGTTGAGCATTTGGCTCTTGATTTTGGCTCAAGTCATCTCAGGGTCCTGGGATCAAGCCCCGTGTTGGGGTCTGCACGTGACGCAGAGTGTGCTTGTCCCTCTCCCTCTACTCCTCCCTCCCCCGTTCGCTCTCCCTCTCTCAAAGAATGAATGCAGTCTTTAAAAAAAAAAAAAAGAATATAATCATATTGGGCCTTATCCACAATGTTAACAGACAGTCTTAATCTCAGTCTCAAAGAATGTACTCTCAAATTTTCTTATTTTTGGTGTAACCTATTGTCGGTGTTTGAGTTTTATTTTTTAAAATCTATATTTTAGTTTGAGTAATGAGTTAATAGAAATTTACTCTCAACTCTAATGGGACATACCATACTTCCTCTCATTGTCTATTATCTTTTTGAGGTATCCCTTATTCTACTAGCTTAGAGTTGGTTGAATAAGTCTGTTTTCACCTTCACAGTTATTTTATATATTTCATATCCCCATTGGCTTTCTATTGGATTCAACTTTGAACCCTTTTAATATGTGCCCATTTGTTATGTCCATCTTTTTAATAGATATTTTCTATCCCTGGTTCTAGCATTTACTTCCTTAAAGTGCTGTGGCCACAACAACATATAATGTTCCTGGGGCCAAGAGAAACAGATGTAGTGTATTGATTGTGGTCTTTGCTGAGGTCATAGTTAATTAATCAGAAACTATAACTGATTTTTCCTTAAATATCTGGGGTTTTTTAGTATAAATAAATACTCTTTATTAAACTAAGAATAGCTGTTAAAAGCTATCAACAACAACAAAAAAAGTTTCATGTAATTCTAAAATTTGTAGTTTATAGTAACTTGTAAAGAATCCTGTGTATTTGTGTGTGTATGTGTGTGTGTGTGTGTGTGTGTGTGTTTAAACAGTATGCAGTAATCTTTCTGTAATGGAAATCTTTTACCAATTTCTGCTTATCCTAAACCAGTGGCACAAACTTGAGTAGGCCAAAGTAACTTTAAGCAATTTCTAAAGTAAGATGGAGTATCTTTTTTTTTTTTTTTTTTAACCCCAAAGAGTACATAAGATAAGTCAAGCCAAACTGGTTTTAAAACTTGACTCTGGTATTTATCAGTGGTATGATCTTGGAGAAATCATCAAATCATTTATTTTTCTAAGCCTCACTTTTACCATTTGTAAAATAGAGATGATAATACCTATCTTGTAAGTCTCTGTGAGGATTAAATGTGAAAACGTTTGTACATAAAGTGGTTAGATCAGAACGTGGTTCACAGAAAGCATCCAAAAAATGGAACTGCTTTTATTATACAATTATTATAATTTTTATCATTATCATATCATAGTAAGTCTTATCTTTTGGAGATTGCTTCTGAGATTTTAAGATTTTGCTGTTCTGAGACAGCAAAAGTCTCCTTGATTTCACGGCTGCTACAACTTCCATTTAGTCAAATTAAAAAATATACTTTTGGTTTAGCACCTCTGTTTTCCCTTGGTTTGATATACCTCAGCTTATCTGTAGGTTAGTTCTGTGTCCACTTAAAGGCCTGTTGTTTTCTTTTCAGCTAAAAATGGAATCATCTATTATATACTTCTGCTAAGTCTGTATTTCCTAATACTAACCTTATATAGGGGCATTTTGGTAAAAGGTACACTTAGTTTTTGTTGTTGTTAAGGTGTTTATTGGATATTTTCTAGAATTAACTGAAAATTGATTTTTATGAAAATGACCACTTTATAGCAATCTGTATTTGAGAAGAGGCATGAATGTTTTGGATAGTGCTGGCTATTTTAAAACAGTATTTCATTGCTGAAGTAATTTCTTTTGAAACCAGAATAAATGTTATCAATGTCACTAACAAGGGATTGCTGCACTCCTTCGACCTCCCAAAGGCAGTTTGCCTTGAGTTTTCACCAAAAAACACTGTCCTGGCAACGTGGCAGCCTTATACTAGTAAGTATTTTCCAATTGTAAAAATATTGACAGGACCAATTCAATTCAGTGGGGAAAAAAAGAGAAGGTTTATAACCTTATACGAAAGTAATTAATCATTAGATAGTAAATAGTGTTTGTATCTTTACTGAGCAGTGAATCTTGTATTGCCCCAATATAATGTACTTTAAGTAATTTCAAATTAGTGAAAAGATTCATCATGGGATAGAGAAAAAGAAAAAGCTCAAATGAATAATCACTGGATGGAGAAGATCTCAAAAATTAAGGATAATAATGACCCTTAAATGAAAAATGTTTTAAATAATCATTGTCAATCAAAGAGGAAGTATAATAGACACAATATGTAAGAAATGTGTATGATGTGACAAAGAGTAGGGAATGGTGTGCCATTTTTTAACATATATAAAGACAAGATAGTATGTTATATGGCTGTGCTTCATGGATGAATAATAATTTAGAACTGGTATAGGGGCTTTTTAAACATGTTTTAATAATGTGGGCATTGTTGAGTTAAATATATAATAGTCCATTGTTGGGTTATAAACCCTCTAGGTTTATTCTTCCAAGAGACATAGACTTGAATGAATCTTCACTTCCAAGTAAATAAAAGGGAAATTGAGAATCATGAGTAGTATATGTAACTTCGTGTGTTTGTGTGTTTGACTTACACACATGAGATTTCATAATAAGAGAATTTAATCCATTTAACTGCAAACCATGTCAAACTTAGTAAACAAGTGTCTTAAGTATTCTTAAAATCTATAGTAATTAACTCATTTCAGAAATGCTGAACTTTTGCTCAAACAGCTGTCATGTTGTCCATAGCTTTAGGAATGGATGATTAAATACATAATTAAAGCTAAAAGGGAAAGTTGATTTAAAGCAACTCTTTTACTTGATCTTTATAATCTTGTTCAAAGTTGTTCTAAGAATGAATTCTTTTTACTAGTGTTAGGAGACAATTACTGCAAAAAAATTTTGTTTTTATTTTAGCTTCTAAAGATGGCACAGCTGGAATACCCAACCTACAACTTTATGATGTGAAAACGGGTACATGTTTGAAGTCTTTCATCCAGAAAAAAATGCAAAATTGGTAAATAAATGTTTTAAAATACTGATTATTTACAAAATATTTTAAATATCTTCATTGTATAATATTTCTTCTCAGGTATTCGTATAGAAAATAACTTGTCAGACCAAAATCTAGATCTTTAGGGATTTTGTATGTGGGAATGTAATAGAGGAAAAACTTGACCTTACTTTTGTTTAGTATTTGAATGAAAAAGAATATCTTTCTAGTACAAATTCTACTAGGATCTGACTTGACATCAATTTATAAGTATTTTTCCTTAAATAGAATTATCACAAACTTCAACATGTTAACATGTGAGGTTATACCTGTCTAAATTTTGTTCACATTCTTTCTTTTCAACATAGGTGTCCCTCTTGGTCAGAAGATGAAACTATCTGTGCCCGAAATGTTAACAACGAAGTTCACTTCTTTGAAAACAACAATTTTAGTATGAAAATATATATGAAATAAATTTATTATGTACTATAAAATGTATATAGTTTTATTGCCTTATATGGTATCATAGGCTCCTCCTAAATACTGTTAATATTTTAATAATTGCTGTTATATTAATTCATTTGAATAACTTTTATAAGTCTAAGTGCTAACTAAAGAAATTCTATAACAAAGATTTTCTTTTAAAATAAGCTTTTATTATCTAATAATTGCTATTAAATTAAGACATTTACATAAAGACATTGTATTAACTCTTTCTGAGTTTAGTTGCTATTGAAATTCTGTGATACAAATTTTTTAAATGTTTTATTATGTAGAATTTGAAACATAAAAGTAGACACCTAGTCCCAATAACCTTCAACCCATTGTCAGTCCTACCTCATCCATACATTTCTCTACCTAACACCTCTCTTACTCTGCTAAAGCAGATCCTAGACATAACATGATTTTTCCTATAAATATCTCAGTATGTATCTTTGAAGATTAGGGCTCTTTAATTTTTTAAAACTTAGCCACAATACCATTATCACAGATTATAAAATATCTGGTCAGTGTTCAAATTCTGATAATTGCAAATGTTACAATTTTTTTTTAAACGTGGGCTCCAAATAAGGTTCCTCACATTGCAAATTGATACATATATCTTTTAAGCTTCTTTTAAGCTATAGGTTCCCTTTCCATCTCTTCCACACTGTGTGGGAACAACACAGACCTACACTTGAATTCCTATCCGGTCACTTACTAGCTGGGTGACCTTGGTGAGTAATGGGACTGCACATCTAACTCTCACTGATTGATTTTTATCAGTGGGAGTGCCCCCCCTTGAGATTTATTATTAAAGAAACAAGGTTATTTTTCATATATCTTCTCATAGTTAAGTTTTGCTACTGTATCCTGTCCTATAGTTTAACATGTTCATCTGTCCCCTAAATAGCTACTTGGATCTAGAACTGCTAGGCTTCAGATTCTTCTTTTTTGGGGAGATGAGGGCAAGTCTACCTCATAAGTGGTGCTCAATTCTTTCATCAAGAAGCACATAACATCTTATGGTCTTTAATTTCGTAGGATTAGCTGACATTAATGTTCATTGCCTAGGTCCATTATTTCATGAGTGGTTACAAATTGGTGATTTTCCAAGTCTCCCCACCTCCCCTATCTCTTATAAGCTATATTACTTCTATAGAGAAATTCCCCCACCTACTACTTGGTTACCTAGTGGTACCATTTATATAGGAAAGAGCACTGTTCTCTTAAAATCAGTCAGTGGGAGTTAGATGTGCAGTCTCGTTACTTACCAAGGTCTCCCCGTTTGTAAGTGACTGGGTAGGAATTCAAGTGTAGGTCTGTGTTGTCCCTACTCCACCTTGTCTCCACCATGCTGCCTTACCTACATGAGACTACAATGAGTAGTATCCATGTATAGTTACATTAATCTTTTATAATGCATTCAGAATTGATCATGTTCCTATTAGCTTCTCTCTTCCATCTAACACTATTTCCTTTTTTTTTTAGACACAATTGCAAATAAATTGCATTTGCAAAAAATTAATGATTTTGTGTTATCACCTGGACCCCAACCTTACAAGGTAATTTCTGTGTTTTTGTTCATGTGGAATGTTATTAGATTAAACCTTTTCCTGGTTCTTAGTGACTGTAAAAGCATGTCCATCTTAGTTTATATGCCTCAAAAAACGAAGTGATGATTTATATGTGTGTATTTCAGGTGGCTGTCTATGTTCCAGGAAGTAAGGGTGCACCTTCATTTGTTAGATTGTATCAGTACCCCAATTTTGATGGACCTCATGCAGCTTTAGCTAATAAAAGTTTCTTTAAAGCTGATAAGGTTACAATGCTATGGAATAAAAAAGGTATGATGATTATATTTTATCTCATTTATCAAGTATTGAGACATACTCCTGTATGTTTAGAAAAAAAGAGTATCAATGCTTATTTAATGAAAATGTGCTCTGTTACATTTTTTAATTTTTTTTTCTTGTCACCATTAGGTTAATTTGTGTTTTAAATCTTAACTAAAGTTTTTACTGTTACAGCTACTGCTGTGTTAGTAATAGCTAGCACAGATGTCGACAAGACAGGAGCATCCTACTATGGAGAACAAACACTGCACTACATTGCAGCAAATGGAGAAAGTGCTGTTGTGCAATTGCGTGAGTATCCCAGTCATCTTCTTGTGATAAAACAATAGAGCACTATGCCATAAAGAGAATCTAATCCAAATTCTTGATCACGTGATAAAACTCAAATATTTTAATAGCCTTTAAGGCGAAATTTCTCTTAGTTAATAAACTTACTGTCATCCCCACACATAGATTATTTTGACAAAATCCAGTTAATTTAGTTCTGGGGAACTTGATAAGTGAAATAATTTCATTGTAGCAACTCTTTGGGGACTTACTTATTATGACAGTAAGTTGGTCTAGTGGGTTTAGCATTGTCTTCAGAACTGAGGAATGTTACCATTTCATCTTTTGTTTTGATGATATAAATTGCTGTAGAATAATACAGTTCTAAAATTCTGGCAACTTCTTGATTTTTCATTTTGAACTGAATATGTAAAAGTAAGATAAACTTCATTATAAAAAAACTATGTATTCCCTTTGAAGTCAGAAAGGAAACAAGGATGACTCCTCTTTCTACTATAATTTAACATTCTGAAAGACCTAGTCAGTGTAACTGATCAAAAGAATAAATACACAATTTTGAAAGGAGAAAACAGAATCATATCTGTGCATGTACATGAAGTCACAGTATAAACAGCCACTTAAAAAACATAATGGAAGGAAAGATCCCATATAGACTAACATAAAGGCAAGAAATAAATAGGACTAATGGGAAGAAAACTTCAAAACTTCTAAGGGACAGAGTGTGACCTTTATTTTTATTTTTATTTTTTTTAAGATTTTATTTATTTGACAGAGAGAGCACAAGCAGAAGGAGAGAGAGGGAGAAGCAGGCTCCCTGTTGAGCAAGGAGCCTGATGTGGGACTCGATCCCAGGACCCTGGGATCATGACCCGGGCTGAAGGCAGCTGCTTAACCGACTGAGCCACCCAGGCGTCCCGAGTGTGACCTTTATTAAGAAGAGTTTTATAGGGGCGCCTGAGTGGCTCAGTTGATTAAGCGTCTGCCTTCAGGTCAGGTCATGATCCCAGGGTCCTGGGATCGAGTCCCACATCGGGCTCCCTGCTCAGCGGGGAGTCTGCTTCTCCCTCTGCTTGTACTCTCTCTCTATCAAATAAATAAGTAAAATCTTAAAAAAAAAAAAGACTTTTATGAAGATGTCATTTCTCTCCAAATTAACCTAAAAATTAAAATGCCGTTAGGTGTTTTTTTTTGAACTAGATAAACTGATTCTAAAGTTGATTTTTTTTTTCCTTTTTTCCTAATCTTTTCTCTTTAATTTATTTGAGAGAGAGAGAGAATGAGCAAGCATGAGCAGGGGGAGGGGCAGAGGGAGAGGGACAAGCAGATGCCCCGCTGAGCGGGGAGTCCAGCACAGGGCTCAATCCCAGGACCCTGACATCATGACGTGACCTAAAGTCAGATGCTTAACTGACTGAGCCACTCAGGCACCCCAACCTTTTTTTCTAATCTTAAAAGTGAAAAAAAGATTTTCTAACAAGGCGGAATAATAAAGGAAAAGTGAATATATAAAATATAGATTTCTAGGGGCACCTGGGTGGCTCAGTCAGTTAAGCCTCTGCGTTTGGCTCAGGTCATGATCCCAGGGTCCTGGGATCAAGTCCTGCATCGGGCTCCCTGCTCAGTGAGGAGTCTGCTTCTCCCTTTCCTCCTGCTTGTGCGCACTTGCTCGCTCTCTCTCTTTCTCAAATAAATAAATAAATAAATATTCTTAAAAATATATATATAGATTTCTACATTGGTGGGAAGAAAAGCCCATAAATTAAGCAAGACAAACAAAAAATTGGGGAATAAATTTTTTAGATGGACAAGGGATGAATATGAGAAAGGTGAATTTTGTTAATCTATTAAGTAAATAAGTAAAAGACCAATAACTGGAGAGAAAAATAAGCGTGGGACAGTAAAAGTCTGCAGAAACAGAAACAAGATTATGTATAAATATATTAAAAGGTGCTTAGTTTATAATAAAAGAAATAGGAAGACAAGTGAACAGTTTTTCTCTTAGTAGCTTGGCACAGATAAGGCGTGAGGGAGAGTGAGGGGAAAATATGTACTCTCAAGAACTGCTGATGGGGCGCGCCTAGGTGGCTCAGTCAGAGGAGCATGTGACTCTTGATCTTGGGTTGTGAGTTCAAACCCCACGTTGGGGGTAGAGATTGCTTTAAAAAAAAAAAAAGAATCTTAAAAAAAAATACCTTTTGACAGTATAAAATGGTACAACTTCTCTGAGGGGCATTATGGCCTTATCGAGTAAATGTACACACCTTTGAGCAGCCAGGTTCACTCCTACAGATGTGTCTGTGTACACTCACCGTTGAGAATATACAGGAATACAGTACCAGTGGAAGAGTGAGGCAGATCTTAATGTGCTTATGTGGAAAAATCTCCAAGATAGGGTACTAAATGAAACAGCAAAGAACTTTAGTGTGAGTGTGTATGTGTGTTTAAGAGAGATGCTTAATTTAAACAAAAATACTCTGAAAGCATATACAAGGAATATAATAGAGGGTTGCCTTTTTGTAGAGGGTCTTAATTAGTGGCATATCATTTTGTTCCTGTGTGCCTACATTACCTCTTCTAATGAAAACTAGTTTATTAATAGGACTAATAATGTATGTTTCTATGAGCCTACAGTGCCAAAATGTTTAAAAGAAATTAAGATAAAGCATTTATCTCCATAGTATATCATATAAAAATATTTTAATTGTAATGTATCTTCTAATTTTTGGATTTTTTTTTTTTTTTTACTGTTTGACATGTTTATGAGTATTATACGCTTATAACTTGGCTACTATTGTATTCATGTAATGATTTATTGCTAATTTGGGTTTTATATTCTTCTAGCAAAAAATGGTCCCATTTATGATGTCGTTTGGAATTCTAGTTCTACTGAGTTTTGTGCTGTTTATGGTTTTATGCCTGCCAAAGCGACGATTTTCAACTTGAAATGTGATCCTGTGTTTGACTTTGGAACTGGTCCTCGTAATGCAGCCTACTATAGCCCACATGGACATATATTAGTACTAGCTGGATTTGGAAATCTGAGGGGACAAATGGAAGTGTGGGATGTTAAAAACTACAAACTTATTTCTAAACCAGTGGCCTCTGATTCTACCTATTTTGCTTGGTGCCCTGACGGTGAGCATATTTTAACAGCCACGTGTGCTCCCAGGTTACGTGTTAATAATGGGTACAAGATTTGGCATTATACTGGCTCTGTCTTACACAAGTATGATGTGCCGTCAAATGGAGAATTATGGCAGGTTTCTTGGCAGCCATTTTTAGATGGAATATTTCCAGTAAAAACAATAACTTACCAAGCGGTTCCAAGTGATGTACCCAGTGAAGAACCTAAAGTTGCAACAGCTTATAGACCCCCAGCTTTAAGAAATAAGCCAATCACCAATTCCAAACTGGTAAGTAAAGTTTTACTACTTTGGTGGGAAAAGACTTCAGTGTATGGAGTTCTCTAGACCTTTTTCTCATGCATGTTCTTGCGTTACTTAGCACCTGATTAGAATATAAACTCTAGAGTGGAAACCATGGAGGACCTACTGCTGAAGATGGTGAACACCTAACATTGTCAAATTGACAAAGTAGTCAATTTAAAACAGTTTACGTTTTACATCTGTGGGGAAGAGAACAGAGTATGACATACTGGCTTTATAGAGATCATGGACTCAAATTCAGATGCCTGTCAGGCTAGGCTGGTCATGCAAGGCTTTGGTGCCTGGGAGAGAATGGTGAAAGGGAGAGACCATGCCCTCTTTAAAGGCCATAGCAACTGCACAGCAGCAGCCGATTGTTTCCATAGGAGATTTAGGCCCAGTTTGCCAAAATGTTTGATTTTCCAAGACAAAACAAGTCTGGATGCTTATGTAAAATTTCTCAATTTTTGAAACACTGTTGGTCAAACAAAACATACTTGTTTTCCTTAGGCTGTCAGTTCCCATCGGTATCGTAAAGTTAGGACCAGAGCATTGGTCAGATTCTCATCTGCTTTAAAATGTTAGCATTTTGGAGCTCAGGGGAAGCATTTATTAATGACCTGAGTCTCTGGGATGATGTTAAGGAATAAAGTTGCTCTGTAAGAATGAACAACAATATTACTGGTATTATAAAGGTGGCCATACAATAGGTGTAAACTGGAACCAAGAAAACAGGGATATATAGTCACTTAAATATTAGGCACTCAGGGAAGTAGATACTTTTTCAGAGGATAAATATTCCTATGCCTCCCTCATGCCACTCCTAACCTTCTCAAAAACAAAAACAAAAGAATAACCCTTCTTCCTCCACAAAATCTAGCAGCGGTCTATAACTTCTTAACTTCACTGAAATGTTCTGTTTAAACATTTTTGTTGTATTATTTACTAAAAGCATATAAAAGTTATGAACAAATTAAGCCCCATTTATGATATTTGGCATTTAGGTTAAAATTTGTCTTCTCTCTATATTAAAGTTTTCCTTACCTAAGATAAAAACAGAAGAAACCTCAACATATCCTGCTTTCTAAATATCTATATGGTAGCACAAGAGGAATAAATTCTGAATCAGTATATATTTTTATTCTCTGATTCATAAAACTAATTTGTCTTGATAGGGAGAGAAAGAGAAATATACTTTGAAAATAGTGATAAAACTTGGTAAGAAAGTCTTAAAGCCAACATTGTTTTAAGATTTAAGATTTCCACTAAATTTTTGTTTTTGTATGTGACATGGTGATTATGTGATCCTATCAAATCATTTTAGTTGAAGGAACCACATGCCCAGTGAGAAATTTTTGTGTCAAATTCCAGAAATGAGCTAAATGGCAAAAAATACTGTCAAGAAATTACCCGAAACAAAGACATTCTAGTAAATAACTTCACAAAGGAGAAGGGTTAATTAGTAAAAGGGAAAAAAAAAAAGATGGGATTCTCTCTCAAGAAAAAACTTACTTTTTTTATAAATAAAAATTCACATATGAATTACACTGAGGTATTTCTTGGCTTTCCAAAAAAACCCCTTCACTTTTATAATGTATTCATCAAAACAGACCCATAATAATTGATATAAATGAAAAAACAAATTTTATAAATAGGGATGAAATTATGTACAGTGGGCACAGTACTAAAGCCAAAAAAGCTCATGATCCCTAGTAGCCGTGTGGATTTTTTGTGTGTGTCTGAAATGAAAGTCTGTCAGTGACTGCATCATGTTCATAGTGTAGAAGACCTTATAATGCGTCCTTCTTTACTTCATTTTTAATTGCTTTGTCATTTTTTTGAGGTTCTTATGACTAGAAACTTCTCACCCAAAGCAAGGTACTGTAGGAGAGCCCGCTATGGAAAGAATTTTGATGTATAAAACAAATGTTCAGCAAGTACTGCTGTGTCTTAACTAACGTATGCAGTGTGGATAACAAAGAAGTAAAAGAGACTTGCCATCAAATTGTCTGTTCTACAAGTGTGGGTTCTCAAATATTCAGTTACTGCAGGTAGAGCATGTACACACACAGAACTTTGATGACCTGAAGTAGTTGATGCAGCTAAGATAGTCACAGTATGGTTTCTTATTTCTTCCTCTGTATCTTCAGTGTTTGAGCCCTGCCCATTTCCTCATAGCACTTATAAGTACCACGTGGATCTGAGATCTAGTACTTAAGAAGCTTCATGGAGATCTGGTTCTTTTGATGTGCTGAGTATGATAGAGTCTAAGAGACAGTTAACACTGAGATAGCAGCAGTTTGGAGGGAAATCAGTAAGTAAACGTGAACCTGTTAAGAAGCTGTATAGTTCCATCACACATGCTCCCTGTTGCCTCAAGCAACTGTGGAGATGACTTAAACCTGTGTATGTGTATTTTTTTTATTGAAATATAACTGATATGTAAAATTGCAAGATATTTAAAGTGTACATCATGGTGTTTTGATATAGGTTTACATTATGAGAGGATTCCTCCCATCTAGTTAGTTAATGAATCTATCACCTCGCTTTTTTTTTTTTTTTTTTTTGGTGGTGAAAATATTTGAGTTCTCAGCAAATTTCAGTTATACGATAGTGTTATCCACCATAGTCACCATGTTTTTATACCAGCTCCTCCTTGATCCTATCCTTAATTCACCCTTTCTGGTGTGGAATATAGTTGATGGGTGGTTATATAAATATCTCATGATGGAAATGATTATCTGTTTTTTTTATTATAGTCTGAAGTTTTTTGTGGGCCTCTTCATTATGTTAATCCTGGATTTACAAATATGCAGTTACCACTTCCTATTTGGTATTTTTTCTCCTGGTCTGTTTTAGTTTTTAATTTGCTTTTATTTTTAAGCTTCTAATCTCTGATTTTGCATGTAAAGACCTAGAAGTAATTCTTTGTGCAAAGAAAGCAAATGAGGCAATTGGGTTTCTGTTGGCAGTAGTCAGATCCCAAAAGATCCCGGAAGAAGCTGTTGTTAGTATCTAATTTCATATGAAGCATGTGTCAGTAATAGTACTAAGAAAAGTTCCATTGTTTAACAAAGCTATACAGTATTTTGCCAGCACTTGTATAACTGAAAGACATCATATATCAACTAATAGGAAGATACTCATTAAATCCATCCTTGACAGTTGGAGTGTGTCTACTACTGATACGAGTTTTGAAATATTCTTTACCAGTGATCTGAAATTTAATAAAATGTTTATCCCACACCAACAAAATTGTATAATTTGTGATACATGTTTTTAAAAGCATGGATTCCATTTCACAATCGTTTGTTTCACATTTTCCACAGCATGAGGAGGAACCACCTCAGAATATGAAACCACAAGCAGGAAATGATAAGCCATTATCAAAAACAGCCCTTAAAAATCAAAGGAAGCATGAGGCTAAGAAAGCTGCAAAACAGGTATTTGGGACACTAATCTTTTCGAAACAAAATAAGCAAAATTGGTTAAATTAGCTTAATTTAAGCCTCAAAGTTTAAAGATTATAGTCCTAAAGATTTGACTATTATGGGTTTTTTGGTTTTTTGTTTTTTTTTTAAGATTTATTTATTTAGGGGCACCTGGGTGGCTCAGATGGTTAAGCCCTCGGCTCAGGTGATGATCCCAGTGTCCTGGGATCTGGCTCAGTGGGGAGTCTGCTTCTCCCACTCCCTCTGCCTCTCCCCCTGCTCATGGTCTCTCTCTCTGTATCTTTCAGTCTCAAATAAATAAATAAAATCCTTAAAAAAATTTTTTTTGAAAAAAAGATTTATTTATTTGAAAGAGAATGCATGCACGTGCACACGAGTAGGGGCAAGGGCAGAGGGAGAGGGGGAGAGAGAATCCTCAAGCAGACTCCTATGCTGAGCACAGAGCCTGACAATGCGGACAACATGGAGCTTAATCCCAGGACCCTGAGATCATGCTCTGAGCCCAAATCAGGAGTCGGCAGGCTGCTTAACCAGCTGAACTGCCCAGGCACCCCAACACTTGACTACTGTGTTATAAAATGTAGTTGGAGTTAGACTTAAATAGCCAGAATGCCTTTTCTTTTGTGTTTGCCTATGAATTTCTGAGTAGTTCTGTTTGTATAATGAGGAAGTGAGGAAAGTGGATCTGGCCTTAAAACCTTAAACCCTAATGGGATTGTGTAGTGTGTTACTTGTTATAGACCCTTCTGTTGAAGCCAGTGTGAAGTGGTATGGTTTGCTCTCTGAAAGCGTATGTTTGTTAAGAGAGATCAGAAATTGCATGACCATAAAGCCATTTTGTTACTCAGTATAACATTACTATAGGAAATTGTTCAACTGGGAGTCTAAACACCAGAAGTACCCAAAACAATGGAATTGTTCTAAAATAATTTTTTATGTGATTTTATAGTTGAAAAACCATACCAGTGTAATAACTGATAAATTATGATTGTGTATGGCTTATGGTGATAGTGCAATCAGCTAGGCTAGGAGTATCTGGTTAGTGAAATCATCATGACCACATTTTTAAGATTCAGATAATGCAGACTTGCTAGTAATGGTTGAATTTTGACAATTCTAGATTGTTTATGTGTTTTGGTAGGCAATTACTATTTTAAGGCATAGAATTGCATTATGCAATCATAGTCTGCTGAAATCTGAGCTTTAAAAAAAAATCAGTGTGCTCTTTTGTAGTTAATATATTTCATCTCCAGAAATATCTTTTTTTTTTTAAGATTTTATTTATCTATTTGACAAACACAGCGAGAGAGGGAACACAAGCAGGGGGAGAGGGAGAAGCAGGCTTCCCGCAGAGAAGGGAGCCCGATGCGGGACTTGATCCCAGGACCCTGGGATCATGACCTGAGCGGACAGCAGACGCTTAACGACTGAGCCACCCAGGAGCCCCTCCAGAAATATCTTTAAATAGGTCAGGTTTAGATCTTTCTTTTTTTTTTTTTTTTTTTTAAAGATTTTATTTATTTGACAGAGAGAGACACAGTGAGAGGGAACACAAGCAGGGGGAGTGGGAGAGGGAGAAGCAGGCTTCTCGCTGAGCAGGGAGCCCGATGCGGGGCTTGATCCCGGGACCCAGGGATCATGACCTGAGCCGAAGGCAGACGCTTAATGACTGAGCCACCCAGGCGCCCCAAAGTTTTGATCACTGGATAGAATATTGCCAAGAAGTCTGATTTCCTAGGTCTGTTTTTATAGAGAATCTGACGTCCACACTTACTTAGTGTGAAGATCCTCTTATTGTTGTTACACTTCCTGTCTCTATACATCAGAAATTGATGGAAGATCTTTGTCCTTCAAATCCAGGGGCACTTCTTGGCGACTTGAGGATATTCTATCCAGTTATGTTGTTATGCAGGTGATCTGGAGAATTCCTCACAAAGTCTCCATATTGAAATCCTTCAGCCCTCTCAAGGTTAGGCCTGACAGTTAGTGACTTCCACGTTCACTTACATTTTTGAGTTTTCATACAAACTGGTTATTCACCCAAAAGAGCTCCGTTTTCTTCTTAAGATTGATCTGTTGATCAATTTCCACCTTACTTTACAGTGGTTGTTGGCACTGCATTGTAAGAGATAAGGCATTTGGTAGACTAAAGCATTTTGGAATTACTTCTTAAATTTATGTAAGTTCATAATCATTAAATTAGTAGTAAGTGTAAATTTTTAATCACAGTTTTTTGAAAAGTATTAATGCTTATTAAACTTTCTTTCTTGTCATTTTCAGGGAATCTGGGAAAAATTGCAAAGTCTATACCTTTAGTAAGGATGGCACCTTGTTTGCCTGGGGCAACGGAGAAAAGTTAGTGTTTCTTTATATAACATATTTTATGTGTGTATCATCGGTATAAAACATAAGTGGCATTATTTGAATTACATGTGTTTGGGTGTCGTTAATAAAGTCCATCTTTTAATGTCATGATGTACTTAGGTATTATCTCCGACGCAACTCCCATAGAACTCTAAAGTTATTAGCTTCTATTTATGTGCCATGACTTGACTTACCTTGTTTCTTAGGATTAAAAAGTAATATATGAAAAGGGGCAATTAATTTAATGCTGGAGAAGCTGAGAAGTTTTAAATAGTGCTCTAGTTAGTGGTTAGGGTTTCTTAAGTTCTGTACTAACACTTAGAGAGTAATTCTCTTTGCTTGCTTACCTTAGACTTAGATACGTATATCTTTGCTATTAAATTAGTAACAACTGTCTACAATTATTTCTATGAGTTTATTATATATGAAAGTATGTCATTTTAGTATTTTATAAATTATTCAAAAGTATATTAGTATAGTCTGTATTATATAAAATAATCAGATTACAAAATTGGTTTTGCAAAAGAAAAAGTTCTGATTAAATACTCATAATTTTGCTAAGAAAATCACTCTTAATTTTTCCATAGTCACTACAACATTTCAGTTCAAAGAACCAGGAAAATGCCTAAATATTTGTTGCTTGATTTAAAGTTATTTTTGTTGTTGTTAACCAGATGTAATACCTTAGGGTTTTTGTTTTTTCTTTTTTAGATTTTTTAAAAAGATTTTATTTATTTATTTATTTGAGAGAGACAGCAAGAGAGGGAACACAAGCAGGGGGAGTGGGAGAGGGGTAAGCAGGCTTTCTGCTGAGCAGAGAGCCCGATGTGGGCCTCGATCCCAGGACCCTGGGATCATGACCTGAGCCGAAGGCAGATGCTTAACCGACTAAGCTACCCAGGTGTCCCTACCTTAGGTTTTTTAAAAAGGAGAAAATGTATGCATTTGTATGAAAAGTACATTTTAAATGTTGTTTCTTACATAGTGGTGATGGATTCTGAAGTCAGATTGGATTAAACACATGATTTTTAAAAATTAATGCTAAAAAGATTGTGTTGAATTAGATGATTCACTTTTATTTATTTATTTATTTTTAAGATTTTATTTATTTATTTGACAGAGAGAGACACAGCAAGAGAGGGAACACAAGCAGGGAGAGTGGAACAGGGAGAAGCAGGCTTCCTGCTGAGCAGGGAGTCCGATGCGGGGCTCGATCCCAGGACCCTGGGATCATGACCTGAGCCGAAGGCTGACGCTTAACTGACTGAGCCACACAGGCACCCCTCACTTTTTTTTTAGATGATTCACTTTTTATGACTATGAGTAGCTGGCAGAATTAGTTATTGTAATTAAAAATGTTAATCACTTCATTATTTTTTTAAGTTATTGAATCCAGCCAGTACACCACTACTCATAAATTATTAAGAATATAATCATATTGGGGGTGCCTGGGTGGGTCAGTCAGTTGAGCATTTGGCTCTTGATTTTGGCTCAAGTCATCTCAGGGTCCTGGGATCAAGCCCCGTGTTGGGGTCTGCACGTGACGCAGAGTGTGCTTGTCCCTCTCCCTCTACTCCTCCCTCCCCCGTTCGCTCTCCCTCTCTCAAAGAATGAATGCAGTCTTTAAAAAAAAAAAAAAGAATATAATCATATTGGGCCTTATCCACAATGTTAACAGACAGTCTTAATCTCAGTCTCAAAGAATGTACTCTCAAATTTTCTTATTTTTGGTGTAACCTATTGTCGGTGTTTGAGTTTTATTTTTTAAAATCTATATTTTAGTTTGAGTAATGAGTTAATAGAAATTTACTCTCAACTCTAATGGGACATACCATACTTCCTCTCATTGTCTATTATCTTTTTGAGGTATCCCTTATTCTACTAGCTTAGAGTTGGTTGAATAAGTCTGTTTTCACCTTCACAGTTATTTTATATATTTCATATCCCCATTGGCTTTCTATTGGATTCAACTTTGAACCCTTTTAATATGTGCCCATTTGTTATGTCCATCTTTTTAATAGATATTTTCTATCCCTGGTTCTAGCATTTACTTCCTTAAAGTGCTGTGGCCACAACAACATATAATGTTCCTGGGGCCAAGAGAAACAGATGTAGTGTATTGATTGTGGTCTTTGCTGAGGTCATAGTTAATTAATCAGAAACTATAACTGATTTTTCCTTAAATATCTGGGGTTTTTTAGTATAAATAAATACTCTTTATTAAACTAAGAATAGCTGTTAAAAGCTATCAACAACAACAAAAAAAGTTTCATGTAATTCTAAAATTTGTAGTTTATAGTAACTTGTAAAGAATCCTGTGTATTTGTGTGTGTATGTGTGTGTGTGTGTGTGTGTGTGTGTTTAAACAGTATGCAGTAATCTTTCTGTAATGGAAATCTTTTACCAATTTCTGCTTATCCTAAACCAGTGGCACAAACTTGAGTAGGCCAAAGTAACTTTAAGCAATTTCTAAAGTAAGATGGAGTATCTTTTTTTTTTTTTTTTTTAACCCCAAAGAGTACATAAGATAAGTCAAGCCAAACTGGTTTTAAAACTTGACTCTGGTATTTATCAGTGGTATGATCTTGGAGAAATCATCAAATCATTTATTTTTCTAAGCCTCACTTTTACCATTTGTAAAATAGAGATGATAATACCTATCTTGTAAGTCTCTGTGAGGATTAAATGTGAAAACGTTTGTACATAAAGTGGTTAGATCAGAACGTGGTTCACAGAAAGCATCCAAAAAATGGAACTGCTTTTATTATACAATTATTATAATTTTTATCATTATCATATCATAGTAAGTCTTATCTTTTGGAGATTGCTTCTGAGATTTTAAGATTTTGCTGTTCTGAGACAGCAAAAGTCTCCTTGATTTCACGGCTGCTACAACTTCCATTTAGTCAAATTAAAAAATATACTTTTGGTTTAGCACCTCTGTTTTCCCTTGGTTTGATATACCTCAGCTTATCTGTAGGTTAGTTCTGTGTCCACTTAAAGGCCTGTTGTTTTCTTTTCAGCTAAAAATGGAATCATCTATTATATACTTCTGCTAAGTCTGTATTTCCTAATACTAACCTTATATAGGGGCATTTTGGTAAAAGGTACACTTAGTTTTTGTTGTTGTTAAGGTGTTTATTGGATATTTTCTAGAATTAACTGAAAATTGATTTTTATGAAAATGACCACTTTATAGCAATCTGTATTTGAGAAGAGGCATGAATGTTTTGGATAGTGCTGGCTATTTTAAAACAGTATTTCATTGCTGAAGTAATTTCTTTTGAAACCAGAATAAATGTTATCAATGTCACTAACAAGGGATTGCTGCACTCCTTCGACCTCCCAAAGGCAGTTTGCCTTGAGTTTTCACCAAAAAACACTGTCCTGGCAACGTGGCAGCCTTATACTAGTAAGTATTTTCCAATTGTAAAAATATTGACAGGACCAATTCAATTCAGTGGGGAAAAAAAGAGAAGGTTTATAACCTTATACGAAAGTAATTAATCATTAGATAGTAAATAGTGTTTGTATCTTTACTGAGCAGTGAATCTTGTATTGCCCCAATATAATGTACTTTAAGTAATTTCAAATTAGTGAAAAGATTCATCATGGGATAGAGAAAAAGAAAAAGCTCAAATGAATAATCACTGGATGGAGAAGATCTCAAAAATTAAGGATAATAATGACCCTTAAATGAAAAATGTTTTAAATAATCATTGTCAATCAAAGAGGAAGTATAATAGACACAATATGTAAGAAATGTGTATGATGTGACAAAGAGTAGGGAATGGTGTGCCATTTTTTAACATATATAAAGACAAGATAGTATGTTATATGGCTGTGCTTCATGGATGAATAATAATTTAGAACTGGTATAGGGGCTTTTTAAACATGTTTTAATAATGTGGGCATTGTTGAGTTAAATATATAATAGTCCATTGTTGGGTTATAAACCCTCTAGGTTTATTCTTCCAAGAGACATAGACTTGAATGAATCTTCACTTCCAAGTAAATAAAAGGGAAATTGAGAATCATGAGTAGTATATGTAACTTCGTGTGTTTGTGTGTTTGACTTACACACATGAGATTTCATAATAAGAGAATTTAATCCATTTAACTGCAAACCATGTCAAACTTAGTAAACAAGTGTCTTAAGTATTCTTAAAATCTATAGTAATTAACTCATTTCAGAAATGCTGAACTTTTGCTCAAACAGCTGTCATGTTGTCCATAGCTTTAGGAATGGATGATTAAATACATAATTAAAGCTAAAAGGGAAAGTTGATTTAAAGCAACTCTTTTACTTGATCTTTATAATCTTGTTCAAAGTTGTTCTAAGAATGAATTCTTTTTACTAGTGTTAGGAGACAATTACTGCAAAAAAATTTTGTTTTTATTTTAGCTTCTAAAGATGGCACAGCTGGAATACCCAACCTACAACTTTATGATGTGAAAACGGGTACATGTTTGAAGTCTTTCATCCAGAAAAAAATGCAAAATTGGTAAATAAATGTTTTAAAATACTGATTATTTACAAAATATTTTAAATATCTTCATTGTATAATATTTCTTCTCAGGTATTCGTATAGAAAATAACTTGTCAGACCAAAATCTAGATCTTTAGGGATTTTGTATGTGGGAATGTAATAGAGGAAAAACTTGACCTTACTTTTGTTTAGTATTTGAATGAAAAAGAATATCTTTCTAGTACAAATTCTACTAGGATCTGACTTGACATCAATTTATAAGTATTTTTCCTTAAATAGAATTATCACAAACTTCAACATGTTAACATGTGAGGTTATACCTGTCTAAATTTTGTTCACATTCTTTCTTTTCAACATAGGTGTCCCTCTTGGTCAGAAGATGAAACTATCTGTGCCCGAAATGTTAACAACGAAGTTCACTTCTTTGAAAACAACAATTTTAGTATGAAAATATATATGAAATAAATTTATTATGTACTATAAAATGTATATAGTTTTATTGCCTTATATGGTATCATAGGCTCCTCCTAAATACTGTTAATATTTTAATAATTGCTGTTATATTAATTCATTTGAATAACTTTTATAAGTCTAAGTGCTAACTAAAGAAATTCTATAACAAAGATTTTCTTTTAAAATAAGCTTTTATTATCTAATAATTGCTATTAAATTAAGACATTTACATAAAGACATTGTATTAACTCTTTCTGAGTTTAGTTGCTATTGAAATTCTGTGATACAAATTTTTTAAATGTTTTATTATGTAGAATTTGAAACATAAAAGTAGACACCTAGTCCCAATAACCTTCAACCCATTGTCAGTCCTACCTCATCCATACATTTCTCTACCTAACACCTCTCTTACTCTGCTAAAGCAGATCCTAGACATAACATGATTTTTCCTATAAATATCTCAGTATGTATCTTTGAAGATTAGGGCTCTTTAATTTTTTAAAACTTAGCCACAATACCATTATCACAGATTATAAAATATCTGGTCAGTGTTCAAATTCTGATAATTGCAAATGTTACAATTTTTTTTTAAACGTGGGCTCCAAATAAGGTTCCTCACATTGCAAATTGATACATATATCTTTTAAGCTTCTTTTAAGCTATAGGTTCCCTTTCCATCTCTTCCACACTGTGTGGGAACAACACAGACCTACACTTGAATTCCTATCCGGTCACTTACTAGCTGGGTGACCTTGGTGAGTAATGGGACTGCACATCTAACTCTCACTGATTGATTTTTATCAGTGGGAGTGCCCCCCCTTGAGATTTATTATTAAAGAAACAAGGTTATTTTTCATATATCTTCTCATAGTTAAGTTTTGCTACTGTATCCTGTCCTATAGTTTAACATGTTCATCTGTCCCCTAAATAGCTACTTGGATCTAGAACTGCTAGGCTTCAGATTCTTCTTTTTTGGGGAGATGAGGGCAAGTCTACCTCATAAGTGGTGCTCAATTCTTTCATCAAGAAGCACATAACATCTTATGGTCTTTAATTTCGTAGGATTAGCTGACATTAATGTTCATTGCCTAGGTCCATTATTTCATGAGTGGTTACAAATTGGTGATTTTCCAAGTCTCCCCACCTCCCCTATCTCTTATAAGCTATATTACTTCTATAGAGAAATTCCCCCACCTACTACTTGGTTACCTAGTGGTACCATTTATATAGGAAAGAGCACTGTTCTCTTAAAATCAGTCAGTGGGAGTTAGATGTGCAGTCTCGTTACTTACCAAGGTCTCCCCGTTTGTAAGTGACTGGGTAGGAATTCAAGTGTAGGTCTGTGTTGTCCCTACTCCACCTTGTCTCCACCATGCTGCCTTACCTACATGAGACTACAATGAGTAGTATCCATGTATAGTTACATTAATCTTTTATAATGCATTCAGAATTGATCATGTTCCTATTAGCTTCTCTCTTCCATCTAACACTATTTCCTTTTTTTTTTAGACACAATTGCAAATAAATTGCATTTGCAAAAAATTAATGATTTTGTGTTATCACCTGGACCCCAACCTTACAAGGTAATTTCTGTGTTTTTGTTCATGTGGAATGTTATTAGATTAAACCTTTTCCTGGTTCTTAGTGACTGTAAAAGCATGTCCATCTTAGTTTATATGCCTCAAAAAACGAAGTGATGATTTATATGTGTGTATTTCAGGTGGCTGTCTATGTTCCAGGAAGTAAGGGTGCACCTTCATTTGTTAGATTGTATCAGTACCCCAATTTTGATGGACCTCATGCAGCTTTAGCTAATAAAAGTTTCTTTAAAGCTGATAAGGTTACAATGCTATGGAATAAAAAAGGTATGATGATTATATTTTATCTCATTTATCAAGTATTGAGACATACTCCTGTATGTTTAGAAAAAAAGAGTATCAATGCTTATTTAATGAAAATGTGCTCTGTTACATTTTTTAATTTTTTTTTCTTGTCACCATTAGGTTAATTTGTGTTTTAAATCTTAACTAAAGTTTTTACTGTTACAGCTACTGCTGTGTTAGTAATAGCTAGCACAGATGTCGACAAGACAGGAGCATCCTACTATGGAGAACAAACACTGCACTACATTGCAGCAAATGGAGAAAGTGCTGTTGTGCAATTGCGTGAGTATCCCAGTCATCTTCTTGTGATAAAACAATAGAGCACTATGCCATAAAGAGAATCTAATCCAAATTCTTGATCACGTGATAAAACTCAAATATTTTAATAGCCTTTAAGGCGAAATTTCTCTTAGTTAATAAACTTACTGTCATCCCCACACATAGATTATTTTGACAAAATCCAGTTAATTTAGTTCTGGGGAACTTGATAAGTGAAATAATTTCATTGTAGCAACTCTTTGGGGACTTACTTATTATGACAGTAAGTTGGTCTAGTGGGTTTAGCATTGTCTTCAGAACTGAGGAATGTTACCATTTCATCTTTTGTTTTGATGATATAAATTGCTGTAGAATAATACAGTTCTAAAATTCTGGCAACTTCTTGATTTTTCATTTTGAACTGAATATGTAAAAGTAAGATAAACTTCATTATAAAAAAACTATGTATTCCCTTTGAAGTCAGAAAGGAAACAAGGATGACTCCTCTTTCTACTATAATTTAACATTCTGAAAGACCTAGTCAGTGTAACTGATCAAAAGAATAAATACACAATTTTGAAAGGAGAAAACAGAATCATATCTGTGCATGTACATGAAGTCACAGTATAAACAGCCACTTAAAAAACATAATGGAAGGAAAGATCCCATATAGACTAACATAAAGGCAAGAAATAAATAGGACTAATGGGAAGAAAACTTCAAAACTTCTAAGGGACAGAGTGTGACCTTTATTTTTATTTTTATTTTTTTTAAGATTTTATTTATTTGACAGAGAGAGCACAAGCAGAAGGAGAGAGAGGGAGAAGCAGGCTCCCTGTTGAGCAAGGAGCCTGATGTGGGACTCGATCCCAGGACCCTGGGATCATGACCCGGGCTGAAGGCAGCTGCTTAACCGACTGAGCCACCCAGGCGTCCCGAGTGTGACCTTTATTAAGAAGAGTTTTATAGGGGCGCCTGAGTGGCTCAGTTGATTAAGCGTCTGCCTTCAGGTCAGGTCATGATCCCAGGGTCCTGGGATCGAGTCCCACATCGGGCTCCCTGCTCAGCGGGGAGTCTGCTTCTCCCTCTGCTTGTACTCTCTCTCTATCAAATAAATAAGTAAAATCTTAAAAAAAAAAAAGACTTTTATGAAGATGTCATTTCTCTCCAAATTAACCTAAAAATTAAAATGCCGTTAGGTGTTTTTTTTTGAACTAGATAAACTGATTCTAAAGTTGATTTTTTTTTTCCTTTTTTCCTAATCTTTTCTCTTTAATTTATTTGAGAGAGAGAGAGAATGAGCAAGCATGAGCAGGGGGAGGGGCAGAGGGAGAGGGACAAGCAGATGCCCCGCTGAGCGGGGAGTCCAGCACAGGGCTCAATCCCAGGACCCTGACATCATGACGTGACCTAAAGTCAGATGCTTAACTGACTGAGCCACTCAGGCACCCCAACCTTTTTTTCTAATCTTAAAAGTGAAAAAAAGATTTTCTAACAAGGCGGAATAATAAAGGAAAAGTGAATATATAAAATATAGATTTCTAGGGGCACCTGGGTGGCTCAGTCAGTTAAGCCTCTGCGTTTGGCTCAGGTCATGATCCCAGGGTCCTGGGATCAAGTCCTGCATCGGGCTCCCTGCTCAGTGAGGAGTCTGCTTCTCCCTTTCCTCCTGCTTGTGCGCACTTGCTCGCTCTCTCTCTTTCTCAAATAAATAAATAAATAAATATTCTTAAAAATATATATATAGATTTCTACATTGGTGGGAAGAAAAGCCCATAAATTAAGCAAGACAAACAAAAAATTGGGGAATAAATTTTTTAGATGGACAAGGGATGAATATGAGAAAGGTGAATTTTGTTAATCTATTAAGTAAATAAGTAAAAGACCAATAACTGGAGAGAAAAATAAGCGTGGGACAGTAAAAGTCTGCAGAAACAGAAACAAGATTATGTATAAATATATTAAAAGGTGCTTAGTTTATAATAAAAGAAATAGGAAGACAAGTGAACAGTTTTTCTCTTAGTAGCTTGGCACAGATAAGGCGTGAGGGAGAGTGAGGGGAAAATATGTACTCTCAAGAACTGCTGATGGGGCGC